TCTGGTCTTTGTGATAACACGGGTATTGTCTTGAGGACCCATCAGTTTGTTCCAGAGACAGACAAGCTCTTTCCTTCATAGTAATTAACTGTTTCTAAGTGGATATGTCCTTTATGTCTTTGGCTCTCCTTTATACCAAAGCAACTATTAGAAAATTTTAGTTCAGCCTGAAGCCATGAGTGCCATCACATCTATTTTCTGTCTTGACTAAATTACATAGGATACGTAAAACATCAGCTTGCCAAGAAGCCTGCAGCTTGAGAGGCTGCTGTGCATGTATACGTGTGTATAAATAAAAAAGATGTTATATTCCTCAGACAGATTTTGTTCCATGCTTGCATAAATTCTAGGGGCAGAAATAGTTTCCTTTTCTTGTCTTCTTAAAAATTAAAAAAAAACCCAAGAAAACCCAACAACATGAAAACGTTATGGAATATAACATCCCTGAATAAAGAATTAAATTAAATTTGCCATCATTCTGTGGAGGGTTACCTACTCCATAAAGTAAATACAGGAGGCTTCAGACAGAGAAACTGTTTGAAGTTACACTGTAAATGAAACACTTTAAAATGACAAATACTACATACAGCGTAATCAAATGTTCAATGTAATGAGGGTAGTTAGCTAAATCATTTGTGATTAGATTCACTGATTATAATTGCTGCCTTAGCATAACAAACTTGCATTTACCCCCTAAAATGATATCAAGAAAGCAGCAACATAGGGAAAAAAACCACAAAAAACAGTCTTTTCCCTTTACTGCTTGCTTTAATTTCTCTTCTATTATGGCTGTACAACAGGCTACAAAAGCAGCTGCAAATAACCCTGGATACAGCTGACTTCAAAGAGTAGTTCCACATCACACAAAACGGCAGGCAGGAAGGAAAGAACACTTTTTCCAGACTTCCTTTGTCTATTGATGCACAGGCAAGTTAATGACTACACAGTGGTAATTAGCACCCACACCAGCGGCAGGGATGGAATAGTGATCCTCAGCTGTCTGTCCCACAGCATGATCCTATCTTTGGAGTGAAGAACTGGGTCATCATACAGTCAGGGACATCACAAGAAAGTGCCATGCTGGGGATAAAAGTTACGGGAAAGTAGAGCTCTCCTAACTTCACCTTCATCTATTACTTTGCATATTTCCCTCTGAATATTCCTAATCCAAGCCACCATAACATCAGCAACCAAATTTTAAAGGTGTTTAGATGTCTAAATGCAAGCATAGGTGCTGAAGAGGCATTAAAATGTTATGAAGCTAAAAGCCAGCGATTTCACCCATTTCTCATCAGCTAAAAATTATCTCCACTGACAGATTTGGAATCCAAACAGGTATATTGATGTGCAGTTTTAGGCACCTATATTCCACCATAGTTTGCTCTTGCAGTCAACCATGTGCAGCAAAGCACACTGCAGAGACCCAGAGCTGGAAGTGTGCTTGATACAGTCCCAGCCCTGCACCCCACTGAATGACCTCTGCCCTGAACATCCTCTCTGCCTTTGAGATACATCCCTCATGTGCACAGGCACGTCCAGAAGAAAACTCATAAAAAGCAGATGTGCCTGGAGTTTTCTGACTAAGAAGCTATCCAGGAGCACCCAAGAAAACTGCTTTTTAATAGAATATCATAAAAGGGACCCAATTTTTTGCCAGAAAGAGAATTCATAGAATCATAGGTTGGAAAAGACCTCTAAGATCATCAAGTCCAACTTTCACCCCAACACCACCATGCCTACTAAACCATGTCCCAAAGTGCCACATCCACACATTTATTGAACGCCTCCAGGGATGGTGACTCAACCACTTCCCTGGGCAGCCTGTTCCAATGCAAACAAATGAGAAAAAAAAAAAAAGACTAATCTGATAAAATGTCAAATACTCACAGAGAAATGAAGACTGGAACAGTAAGCTTCCCTACTACTGTAGACTGAAGGTCCCTTCCTGGACCATCAAGTCCAAACCTCTTATAACTTGACAAACATTACAGAAGTTGTTATTCCTGCACTCACTGAGGTCCATTTTAAGAAATGGATTACTTTTGGCAGGAAGCTAATCCAAAACCTGATTTCTATGAGGATAAAAACTGTTCTCATATCCAACTAAATGTCTTATCTTAAAGTCACTATTCAGTCCAAGGATTGGCTGAGTTATGGCCATTCAGCTGACCTGTCTGTCAGGGTCTGTCCCAGCTTCCAACTGGCCCGTGTTGCAGCCAACCTTTTGGTCACAGTAATGATCGTAAGATTTACTTCTATGCAACATATAATAATAGCCCCCAGACTGAATCTCACTCTGCAGGAAAGAAACCTTTACCAAATACAAAAATTACATTCAAAGGGCAGAACGTATTTTAACTAAATAATTCTTAATGCAGTAATGCTTCAAAAATTACAAGTAAAGTTTACCCTCATGCTTTTACAATTACATGACTCAAGATTTGCAAGAGAATACTTATAACTAACCAAGCAGTCCAAGTAAACATAGTGCATTTGTGAGTTTTCGTTATTTCTATCACCCTTTGTAGTAGTTACGGATTCAAATACCATTGCACCCTGCACTGTTGAAGCAAAATGGTCTTTGGCACCTGGAAAAGCAAAAGGACTGATTCAGGATGGAAAAAGCCTATTCACATGGCACGGAGTACCAAAGGAGGAAGATGGGGAAGAGTGGGAGGAGGCAGGAGAATACATAATGGGCTCACTTAACATCAGCCTCTGTACAGGTCAGATACACAGGTTCCTTCTGGTCCTCTTCTAAATTAGAAGACAACTGCTGAGCTATCAAACACACAGTAATAACGATCTTTAAATCTTTGCTGACCTAATTACTTTCACTTGGTTGTACTGCATGTTTCTCATTAGCAAACAATTTGATGAGGTTAAATTTACATTGCTGGCAACTACCAGCACCAGCCCAACCTGCAAACAGAATTTGAGTATAACTTTTTTTTCCTTATCAGTGTCAGAGAAACTGAAGTAGTGAACTACAAAAATAAGTGCAATCGCTGACCGTGAAAAAGAAATCCAGCACCATCAAGAATAGTTGTGGGCCAGATGCTGAAGATTTCCCAGCAGTTTCAGAAATTTCATAAACTAGGTGTTGTGTGGTTTTAAAAATAACATCTTTATTAAGATAAAGGACTTCCTATATATTGCTGGGGTAGGGGATTTTGCCTCAGGAACTGTAGAGAAACTCAACTTTAGCTGGGCTTAGAATAAAAGTTCCCTTATATTCTTGATTAGATTCAAATAGCTAGGGTTAAGTCCATTACAGAAGATGGAGGGACATTCTCTCCCTTCCACATAAGAATCAAATTCTACAGCCAGTTTTCAACTGTCTTTCTTTCATTCATTCTCAAAAAAATTATAATCTTATCATTACTACTTCATAGTTGAGGTAGTATTTGCAAAAGCCCCAAAGCAAGAACCATGAAAGACAAAAGCTCTTGTGATGCCCAAATCAGTGTCAAGGAGGACAATTTTACACTTGGACGTATTGTATCACTTCTGACAGTGTGGAAAAGCTGGTCACAGTTCCATAGTTATGAATGAAATTTGCAATAAAAGCAAGGATTAAGCTTCTTGACTTTATATGGTGGATAAAGGTTATCCTTCCTGAAATCTACTGAAAATTTACTAATATATCTCTTGATTTACTAAAATAAATAAATTCTAAATTAATTCTTTTAAGGCATATATCAGTATCAGATTTGTGACCCAAAAGACATCACATTCCTCAAAAATGTTCTATGTACTCAAACTTTAACAAGGCTTTACCACAAGAAATGAAGAGGTAGCAGAGTTAAGGTACTACTGATTTTTTAATTTTATTGTCCTGCTTGGGTACATGCCAAGTTAGGCCAACATATCCATTTGTAAGTGGGACCATACACAACGAAGTGGTCCCATCTGTTTCACATTATTACAGCATTATTATCTAAATGCGTCAGGAATAAGAGAAACTGAACTTGCATTAAGAGTTCTCATCAACGGATGGCTTGGCTGCAGTGTCACTGCCAACCAGTGGCTTCATTCCCACTAGTCCCCATCCTGTTCTCCCACTACCTTCTCCTTTGCTGTTGCTCTCATTTGTTTTCTGCTGCTCTAGCAACAGAGAGAGTATGAGACGGTAATCAGATGGTCATTTCACAAGCAAGCAATGCGTTCCTTTTCCATGGAGAAAGAATGGTTTATGGATTGTGTCTTGAATGACTGACTTTACTACTGATTAGGTGGTTCTGCACAGAGGATTCCTTCCACATGAAGAGTTTAAGATAGTATTATTGCACTTCAGTATGTTTCCAGGGAATATTCAATTTCACTTTTTTGTTCTTCTTTAGAGCAATTATCCAAATGTTAATATATTTTGCTGCTGTAGTTACTTTATTAGATTCTCCTGGCCAAACACCTACACAGGCTAGCAAATGGGAGAACGAGAATGAAGCGTCTACTTTTCTGCTCTTCACATTATGTCAGTGAATTCCCAAAGCTGTTTGTGCCTCATTTAAGAAATGGGTAGAGTTCACCAGAAAGCAAACAAAAAAAAATCAATCACTGAATTTTCTCATCAGACATTAGATGGCTGGAAAAAAATATAAAATTTTTCTACTCTTGTGACTGGACAGAGCAACTCATGGTAATTTTTGCTGAATGTTAACTTCTAACTTCTCGCAAAACTAGGCCTTGGAGGTTTGCAAGTGATCAGAGCTGTGAATCACGACACCTTAAGAGGAATGTACCTCATTAGAGCCACAGCATGAATGGAGGTCCTAACACACAAGGCAAGCAAGGTCAGGAACACTAGAGTGTAAAGGCTAACTTAACAGTGCAGAAATCAAAAAAAGTCAGAGCGATGAATCTTGGATCTTATTCAATCATGCACCAAAAAACAACCACCACACAGCACTTTAAACTTCAGTTTAAAGATGTGTCATAGAAACTGAGTCGAAAAGCAGAACTTGGTCAACTAATCTGAGGAATGTTGGTTTATTACCCACCGTAGTTTCTGGTTATACTGCTTGACTTTTTCGAGTGAGGCTGCGTTAATCTGAGCTTGAAATTCTTCTACCGAGACACTGTCTCTGTAATAATATCCTTCCATGCTCTCCAGTGCTGTGAAGAGAGAAAGGAGAATGGAGAAGAGAAAAATCAGTATTAAATATTTAGCATTCGCCTTCTTTGTAGCTTTGTTCACAGACTAGCGAATTACTTTTTAACCTTAAGGCTGTGACCCCACTGTGGATTGCCGAGTTGTTTCCATATGTCATCAAATTCATATAGATCTCTCTAAGATTTCATTTACAAGAAAAATTATATTTCTTGCTCTGTGGAAAATATAAAGGAGAGAGCTAGTTTGAGTTCTGTTGCTCTAATTAAAGGACTTCTGCCCTGTGAATGTAAATGTGTTTTTTAGTTCTGATATATCCTGGAAAAAAACAGTAGAATGAGCTGGGGTAGAAGAAAGAAAGGATTAATGTACCAGCTACTTTCACACAGGGAGACCTAACAACTTGTTGCGAAGCCTTATTTTAGAAGATGTGGAGCACCTGAATCTCTGGTTATTCTCACTGATAATCTGAATGCCTTCTTCCGGATCAAGTGAGACAAACTCCTCTGGATCTCTGAAAATGCCCTACAAGCTCCTTTTCAGGGATCAAGTTAGTTTCTAAAGTCAACTAATTGACTATGTCCACCTTTGATGTATTCTCTTCACCAAAGCAAGGATGAATACTGCGACAAGAATTCAGGAATTAAACAACGACTTCCATTACAGGAAGGACTGTATGTCCTTCTCATATGATCATTGCACAGAAATTAAAAGGAGGAAAAAATGAACACACAGTCATTCCACTGTGGCATGCTCTTCCTAGCAATAACTTTCTAAAAAAGAAAGAAAAAATAGAACATTCCCCCAGCCACTTTGATATAGATACTAAGGGAAGTTTAACCTTCTCTTCAGCCAAGCCAAATTAGGTGTTTAAAAGGTTCTCAAAAAAATTTGGACTGGAAAAATCAGGATCTTCATTTTAAGAGGTTAACCTTATTATAACATAAATGACAGGCTCTTGGTGAGTGTAGGGTTTTGGCAAGAAGCATTAAAGATTTTACAGTTAAGAATATTGCCACTTTAATAATCCATACACATTCTAAGAATCCATCACCCTATCAGAAAATGCAAGCAATAAGCAGAGTTCTGATGGAAACATACTGCTGTCTTACAGCTTCAGCTGCACACAGAATATTAATTCTGCTTGTACTGCTTAATATGACCAGTTAATAAATAATTCATTCATTGTGAAAGAACATGCAAATTGCACTCCCCTTCTGTGCTTTCAGAGTTTGTAATTGTACTTCTATGCAAAAAATACTAAATTTCAACAGAATTGCTTCTTAGCTTCCTTGGTGCTAAGTCACACCAGAAGGACCCCACAAAAATATCGACTGAACTCCAGTTATAATAGCATGTTAGTGCAAACAGAGTTGATAATCCATACTGCTTAGTTTACTGGCTTCAAGTTGGTTTTATCCAATTAGATCACCCAACCGGGAAACTCAGTCATCTGTCAGGACTGGCTGGAGCACACAGTTCTGCCTTTAAAGGCACTGTGGGGGTCACGCTTACGGCTGCTGGCAGGGAATCCCACACTGTGTGCTTTGGCTCTCCCCTTTTTTGAAGGGTTTAACATTTTCCTGCCTAATATATTATAAGGCTCTTGGGTAAGGAAGCTTTCCTTACTAACTGAAACATGTTGTACAGTATTCTTGAATCTATGTTAGGACATTATAGCCTGAATGCATGGGCAACTGAATGGAAGAAAAACCTGAAAGGATGAGCAGGCTCAAAGGGTAGTATCTAATGGGACATGATCTACCTAGGGGCCTATTATAAGCAGAATACTACTGGGTTCTATATTGTTCAACATCTTTATCACTGACCTTGAGGAAGCCCTCCAGGGGCGCTGACAGAGTGCCCTCTTGTCAAGTTTGCAGCTGATACCAAACTGGGGAAGCAGTGGATATGCTCAAGTGCTGGGCAACCTACAGAGGGACCTAGACAGGCTGGAAGAACGGTCCAGCAGGAACCTTGTGAAACTGAACAAAAACAAATGTCAAGTCCTGCACCTGGGAAGGTATAGCCTAAACAGCAGCTCTGAGGACCTCGGGGTCATGTCAGACAGCAAGCTGAACATGAGCCTTCAGTGTTCTCTGTCAACCAAGAAGGCCAAGAGCATCCTAAACTGTATTAACACAAACATGGCCAGCAGACTGAAAAAAATGCTTGTCCTCACTTCACTCAACACTCATTAGACAGCATCTTGAATACTGTGTCTAGTTTTGGGCCCCACAGCACACGAAAGCTGTTGACCCACTGGAAGGACTTGAGTAGCAGGCCACCAAGATGATCATGGTGAGGAGAAGCTGAGGGACCTGAGCTTGTTCAGCCTGTACAAGTGATGGCTTTGAGGATGAGCTACTATCCAGGTGTCATTAGCTACCAGGAGGTCAATGAGAAGACAGAGCCAGGCTCTTAACAATGGTGCATGCTGGCAGGACAAGAGGCAACAAACGTAAATTGAAACAAGAGATGCTTCAACTTGAAGAAAGAAAACACATAAGAAAACAATACATAGACTTGTAATTTTATACATGGAGCCATGCAACACTGCATGCAACACAGAGATAAATAGATTGATGTGCACTGACTTGTACCTTTGCTCAACTATTCCAAAACCATGATTTTCTAAATGTTCCATTTGAAAACTTCATAAAACATTGTCTTCTAGGTAGGAAACAGCTTAGCTCTGTTACACTTGAGAAGCCAGAATTCACTTCACAGAGGAACTTACAGAAAATTTCTACATTTGTAGCTAATAAATTTCAGCTAAAGATGGGGATCTACTGAGTAAGTTTGATGGCAGCTCAGCTAAACCTCACAGGAAAGAAGTAAAAAATAGAATCCAAATTCACTTATTAATGAGGAAAAAAATGCAAAATAATGATTTAAACACTAAGATTGAACTTCTTATCCAGGACTTCTTATTCTTGGAGTCTAATGGACTATTTTGGAGGAGGATCCTTGAAAATTAAAGAAATTTGATATGATAAAGAAATAAGAAATCTCTATATTACTGAAAATGAATACGCAGATGTAACACTTGTAAGAATCTTTGCCCTTTTCCTTTAGCTGACTACAAAGATGCTTATCCTAAGACTCAAATATTTTGGGCTTCTGGAAACAGAAAGGGAAAAAATTCTGTAAAATAAATTCTGTAGCATATTGAATCCCATCCCGAATCAAAAAAAAAATTAGTATTTCCAGGATTTCATCTGAACCAAGGTATTTTCTGTTCTCTTTCATGTGCCTTTTTGTCTGCTCTACTGAATTGTCTCCTGCTCAGTGTTCTCATTTTCCCCTATACCTGAAATCAATCTCTTCAAAAGCAATTCACTGAAGTCTGTCTTTATTAGTTTGTTTAAAAATCAGACTTCAGGGATCTTATTTTTAAAAAATTGTGTGCTTTAAGTTTACAGTAAGTTTGGCTACTTCTTCATGTGTCCTACTGTTTGCTATTTCTTTTTACACTCTCGTCATCTATCGGAGACCATACCCTCCTAGAAACCTTCATTTGTATGCCTGACGTCTGCCTATTCCACATAGACCCTGGAAGCCTTTCACAAGGTATGGAGTACTTTCAGCTCCCTCTGAAATCAAAGGCAGCTCAAGGCAATCAGCACCTCACATTCACCATTTCAGTGAATCAAACTCCACACTCCTGATGAGTATAATGACTCTGCAGCTAACACAGGCTGCCTGCAATTTATGAACAGCCTGAGCATCAGCGCCACCATTCATCACTTCGGTAACGTTTGCAGTGTCATAACTACAAAAGCCTGAAAACGTTACTTAAGTCTTCACAACATTTTAAAGAGACAGAATTGCCAGGGGATAACAATTTAGTCCTTAAATTTGAAGTAACAGGAAAAGATTACAACACTTCTAATAGCAAGTTTCATGGTCTGACTATGGTCCACTAACATCTACTAAGAACAAAACAATACTGATGAAAGAAGATTCACTCTTTTGTGTTGGAATCATACAACAGGTATAAACTTAGAAATGTATACCCATGTCTCTATTATCAGAAATGTCAGCATTTCTTAAATTCACCTTAAATAACACACTTAAATATAAGCATTGTGCACTTACTGTTACAAAGGATTTACATCAGAGTGAAAAAGCAGGGTTTTAAAGAGAGTTAAATATTATCTGAAAGAATTGGAGGGGAGGGCAGAATTAAAACTCAGGTTACCTTGTGAAAAAAGTACCGGGTGGATTTTAAATCCCCCTCCATTCTTCAGCCTTTGAGGAAGCTGTTCAAAATGGTAACTATCCAGGTAGAAGTAAACCTTCAGGGTTTGCCGGCTTCCTTCTGCTTGGTATGTGATTGGTACATCTGAAAACACAGTCAATGTTACTATTTCATTAAAAGAAATGACACGTTGTTTTCCAGAAACTGCTGCACCCAAAATTCACACGGTTAGATAAAAATCACTGCAGATACAAAACAAATGTGTGCAGTATTTTACATTATACTCGGTGTTGCTGTGGTCACTTTTGGCCTATCCATTATCAGGAAACAGACAACCAGAAAAGCAGTGACTGACATCTTTGCCAGCCTGTCAATGACTGAAAAAACACTAAGCAAATAATTTAGTTGGCAAAATCCTACTTGTATTCCCTGTAAATCTGAAGAAACATCTACGTGCAGAACACAGTTTAAAATCACTGGAAGGATACTTTTAGCCATATTTCACACACCTTCCTCAGGCGCACAATGTATAAGGTCAGTGTGACACGTAGATTCTCCTCAGATTTGTGTGGGATAGAACACAAGTAAATATACAGTAGCTACCAGCATACTCATGAAATTATTATTAAAAATCAGGACCTAACTGAGGAAACAAATTTATTATGGTGGAATATATAAAACTGTAAGAGCACATTTCACTACACTTTGACAAGCTAGATGTCACAATACATCAACTGGCATAGAGTTCAGGGCAACCAGCAGTATCATTTTTCAGTTACAGTGATTCCCCAACATACGTCTTGTGTATTATGCCAGATGATTAACATGTAATGACCATTAGCAAAAGTTAGCAAAAATTTTCCATTTACCTAAATCTCTCAGAGGAAGCCGACTCAATTCAATTTAAGTTTTGTATGTATTTCCTGTTTCAGTATTATTTCCATACATAAGACTCCAGAATGAAAGCAGTAACAATAAAATTTAGCAATTTGCATTAATAATATTATAATGTAATTTTTACACTGTGTGCATAAATTATTTTGTACCTAAATGGAAAAAATACCAAAGGAACATTTTTCACTATTTTTGGTAATATGAAAAATACTTTTTTTTCCTTTCATTGATTATGTGGAATCATAAATGGAAAAACCAAATTTGCCAGATCCTGTCTTCTGTAGCCAGAGTCAGGATGACTGTGGCAGCAGCACTTAAACCAAAAGGAAATACAGGGTTTATTACAATCCTAGAACATGCGGAGTTTCCATTTCTCTGTGTTTTAGCACAGACACCTCAGCTGGAAGATGCAGCAATATGAACAGTTCATGACATAGTCATAGGGTTAACTACCCACCAGGACACCCTCCTGTAACTCCAGTTCCATGTTGTTACCTGGCTTGGCAGGGCTTGTTTTTAAAACGAATGCCCTGAACAGGGTCCTTACTTGAGTTATACAGAAATAAATATGGTCTTACATAGGCTAGTTCCTACCTGACTACCAGCCCTGCCCTACCAAATTCTTCAGCTCATGGACAGCTTTGTGGAGGAGCTTTGTGTCTTCTGGTTTCGGTTATTGCAGAAATTCTCTCATGTGTGGTCTTGTTCTGGCAAGGGAATTGTTTCAGAAAAGCTTGATGTGAAGCAGACATGCTTTCCTCCCTTCCCAGGGGAGTTATGAGACTTAGGAAAAAATGAGGGCTTTTTGCTTCCTAAACAAAGTTCACTGCAGGAAAATCTCTACTGGCTGAAAACATATTAATAAAAGAGTGGCTGAAAATGAGTGAAGAGTAGAAACAGCAGACTGTGAAGACAGTCCCTTCCTGCAAGTTGGGCGCGTATTGGGAGGAAAGGTTCACAACCCTCGTCGTCTGCATCAGCATGTCTCAGAGGAAGTTTCTTGCACAATTTAAAGCTATCCTAATAGTGTTTGCTCTCACCTTTCAAGGAACTCTTCCAATATTTACTTTGTCTTTCAGACGATAAAATTAAATGGATTTTATGCTTCTCCATCTCACCTCAGCTGCATTTCTCTATTAAGACCTTCAACTTATTCTACACGACTCTTCAATAACAACTAGATCTTCCAGGGACTTTCCCAATGCAGTCACATATTCCCAATGGAAAATTCAGTTAAGCAGACAGTTTTGTCCCCACCAGATAACGATTCTGCATTGTCACTGATGTTAACTGTATTTCAGGAAATCTAGGAATATTAGGAGAGCTACAGATCTACTAATTCCCCGTAACACAAATTTATATAATATTCCCCATGGGAGGTAATGTTCTAGGAGAGAAAAATGTTACAAATACAGAAAATGTTTCTTAACAGTAAAACCCAGATATTAATTATAATTACTCACTGGCAACTAGTGGTTCTGGCTCTGATTGTCTAAAGTAAAAAGTAACTTTTTCCAAGTCAAACAGTGCAACCAACGTATCTTCTAGCATGGCTTGCTCATCAGCCTAAAAAAGGCAAAAGAAAAAGTTAAATGGTCATTTCAGCCAGATGTTTTCCCTACCAGAAATAGTATGAGAGCAGGACATAAAAGTAACTACAGAATGTTGCACAACAGTTCACTGATTCACTGTATAACCTAATTAACTCTTAGATAATGTAAATATCTTTGTTTCTATTGGCACTTTCCCTTTTCTTACTAGTCCAAGATTATTAAAATGAATGTTAGCATTTCACATAGTAAATTAATAGGTAATTTATAGCTACCATTACTTCTCACTGCTTTTAATCAAACAATACCGTAATTATTGTTTATGTAAACATCAGACTTCAACAGCTTTTCTTGACACCAGGTCTAGCTTGTAAATTAACACAGGAGAAATGTGCAAAACAAATCCTTCCTTTTAACAATTTGCTTTTTAAAAAAATGACATAACTTCAGCATTTTTTTAATAAACTTCAGATGAGATTTCATTGTGTCCACTCTAAGCACCAATAATTGAACCAGTAGCTCAGAACGAGTACAGCTCAGGGTGATTTGCACCTTCTCCTACAAAACACTTGATGCAAATCAAGTATATAGATATGCCAATATTTTGATTTGCACCTATGGTTCACTCTGTGTACTCCTGAGCTGAAGAGACAGCTAAAGAGATCCAGACTAATTTACCAAAAGAGCTGCAGGAAGTAAATGACTAACTTCTCAGGGTACTTTTACTGAACCTTTAAAAAGAAAATAGTCATCTGCAAGTATGGTTATCTTGAGTTAAATATGCAGAGCAATTAGAGCAGAAAATAATAATCACTTAGGTAACTCTGTTCTTTATACAGCCCTCCCCTAGCACCTTAAGCTAGCAAGGGCCGAATTGAAATGCATGCATTTTTCCCCCTTCAAGAACTGAAAGAGTAGGAAGCCAAAGAATAACAACGCAGCTGCCTATAAAATAAGAAAAACTATAGCTTACCAAACTACAGAAAGGAAAAAAAAAAAAAAAGCATGATTTTCCCTGATCTATATCATGTAATAGCATTCCCCCTTGTATTTATGAAAAAGCAAAGCTGCTAGAAATATTTTGTCTCCTGGTTCAATTTATGAAGTCTCTATGGACAGAGCAGTTTTATCAGCAGAATAGTCTGAAAACTGTTCTGTGACATGGGAAATCTTTGCACAACTGCTCATTCTTTACTGAACTCTGGCATAACGAGTACAATTTCCTTCAAATACCCTTGTTTAAAATAACACAGATCATTTGTAAGCAAAATAATGCTGAGAAGGTATTGAAAAAGTTGCCTTTCAATACTTTCCCCTTGGTTAAGAACAGTTAGACAGAAGAGACTAAATTTAACTTTATTTTCAATTCGACAGTGCATACTGCTGGTATCTGATTAAGTGAAAATAACTAAGCAGCATGCATTTTCACTACAAAGGAAATCTCTACAATCTTGAACGAAAAAACAGAAGTATTCAGTGCTGTAAAGACAACAGTTGTGTTGCGATAACATGACATCTAAGCACATGGGAAAACATAAGACAGGCACCAACTGAATTTCTTCTTGAATTCCGAGGACTCCAGCACCAAGACGTGTTGCTGCTGCACAGTGCTAAAAAGTATCCAAGACTCCAGACGTGAGCCCAAGCTCCCCTGACCATACTTTCCTCACATACTCCTCATGTGGATAAACTGCCCTCCTGTCTCTCTCGGGCACTGACTCTATCTGGTTTTAAGCTGCACACCTCGTCCTGACATACCCTGTCCCCCTCAAGCCCACGTAGGTACCTGAGCTACCTGTGACACTGCTGCTCACGCTATCTCAAGTCAATGCTGTCCAGCAATACCACACACTAATACTTTACCATTGCAGTTTAGAAATACCTTTATTTTTATTGATCTTTTCTGCTTCTAAAGTGTATCAGGTCAACTTGTCAGCAATTTGCTGCCGAGATAGACAAGGCAAGGAAAGAAGACCTTTGATACTAGGAACATCATCTGTTTTTTGTGTGGACTTTTATACAGCAGGATGTACCAAATCAGTTCTTTTTCAGTGAGCATCTCAAGAGGTTGAGAAGACTGCCACGGAGCAGACCGTGCAGACTGCTTCACAGTTCTTCAGGTTAGCAGGAACCAGTCTAGTGTGAGAAGCAGCTTAAATAGCTGAAGAAGCACATTGGATAACTGAGGATTAGAGGACTACAAGGCTATGTCCTTTTTTTCGTTGTTTCTTAAGCCATGGCTCTTTGCCAAGCCTTGTGAAGAAATCGCAGATTTGCAATTACCCTGACAGGCTACGAGGATTTGCTCAGTGAGAGGGACCAAACAGACTAGCATGTCTAGTCCTTCAACTACTACAGACTTTTTGGTTAGTGGGGAAAGGGGTGATAAAAAGTATCCAAACCAGGTATTTTATTTATCTTGCATTGCTGCTTATTGCAAACTGACGTTCTGGTTATCACCCAATACATCCACCCCTAGGGAACAGCTGTGATAGCGGTGGGAAGTCAAGGGTAAACTCACTATCTGCAAACTCAAAACAAATGTAATACTGTCTTTGTGGAAAACATATTCCCCATATCATAAACATACATTTCTCATATCTGTAATTATCTAAATGGCAAATTTTTCAAATAGCAGCTAATTCAGTAACAAGCTAAGAACAAAGGACACAGAAAATCGCATTTATAACTAAGACCGTGCCCCTGGTTCAGGGAACAAAGATGGGCTGGGACCAAGCATGCCACATGAGAAGTCTTACCAGGTTAGGTGAGAGCAGGGACTGGAAATGAAGGAGAAGACCTGCACTGGCTATCTGTTCCAACCACCTTCTGCTGGCCTCCATCGTCTCCATTTCATATTCTTTGTTGTTGTCAAACATTTGATTTAAGGCCACCATTAGTTGCTCTGAAAAAGCACAGACTGTGGCCACCAGGCTCTGACAGAAGACCATGTCTCGCCTCAGTTGTATCTCGCTGTCTGTTATGGTTAAAGGCAAAAGAGGAAAAGCAAAAATGGAGCAGGAGATTAATTAACAGCAAAGGAACTGAGCTGGAATTTTTTTGTCTAAAACCAAAGTCATTTTAATGTAAAGTAAATTACAAGTTTACAGCCTAATGTTATTCCCAGTAAACAGCACTCCAAGACCAAAGCTTGGCCATTTTCCACATTAAAAGATTATAATTCTAAAACTACATAGAAGTGTATTTAAATTTGGAATTTAAAGTAGCTCTTCATAAATAATGAATGTTTATCTTGTAGATTTTAACATACATGCCATCAATTCTGTGTACTTCTGACATTATAAGGTGATGGATATGAGTCAGATCTCTTTGCTGCAACGTGAGAAACAGCTGGGCACAACAACATTTACTTTCCACAGGAAAGCAAGGATAATCACAAGCTCTTAATATGACTGCATCATTTGGTCAACTCCACAGCTACCAGCTGGGTAGGGCAGATGAAGACTGCCTGCTGTAAAGTGCAGACAAGGCATATAGGAGTGTTGCTACCAGAACACAATCTATCCAAATACAACAAATATATGAATATGAAATCTATAAAATAAGCACAGAGCAGCATCACATATCCAGGAAGCAGCAGAGATTTATGGTGTCAGGAAAGTCCAGGACAGGTCCCTAGGTAGAAGTCTATGGAATCATTAGCAGCTGATTTACATTAGGGACTAGCTAACCTATCAATTTATTCTGGAGGTGACAGGTATTAGATTAGCTAAAGGTCGAAAGACTTAGAAGGAAACATTCTCAATAAAGCAGAAAATTGTGGTGATAAATATTCAGCGCTTCCTTTTTCTCTTCTTTTCTGAAGGTCTTCAAGTATTTTTATCATTATGAACTGTTAGGCAAACATTAATCACATATGGTACAGGTAGACTTAATCTTTCTCAGAGCAAGAGAAGATTAGGTGATATTGAGGTCTTTCCAAAATCTAAAATCTTTGTCCTCACTTTTAGATTCCTCTGCCTCTAAGAGGATTAGCTCCTTTACCACCTCTTCTCTATGGAGCTGACAAGGCTTTAGATGACTGGGTAAGTCAGCAGAAATAATTCTGTACTCACAAAATTAATACTGACTTTAAAAATATGCTTTTCTTGGACTCTTAAGTATTTCTCAGAGTAACTCCATTCTGTCTGTTTACCTTCTGAGATCTTCTTCAGTTGTTTCCTTGACTAGTAAAGGAGTGGTCACTATTACCAATATAATTTTGATTCCATTTGCCAGCCTCTCAGGCGTTCAGGAATGTTTTTCATAAATACCCTAACCACTACTGTTTCTGCACTGTGACTCATTGCTTTTCATTTTGATTATTGAAACTAACTTCTCTCTCTCTCTCCTTCCAGCCTCTCAAACTCTGCAGAATCCAGTACAGACAGAATTTTCATCTTTAAAAAATCCACCCATCTCCAGCTTCAAAAATCCCACTGGCTTCTCCATGGTCAAAAACTTTCCAATGTCACAGCAGCACTCAGGGATCAAAGCCCAACACACATTAGCTCTCCTCGCTTTGCTAAATTTTATGTTTGTCTAAGCAGCTAACTTTCAGTGCCTTCCCCTGTATTGCCTGGTTCTGAAAACCTCTCATGTCTCCAACACCTCATTTCCAAATTTCATTTAATACTACTTCAACATCAGATAATGCATACAGGAGCACTCTGGGTTCTTTTAACAAGAAGATTTGCATACAAAATTAAGTACAGAATTTAAAAACATATGAAACCACGTAAATAGGGAAAACTGCTTTAAAAAAATCCAGTCTGGGGTATTTTCTTAGGTCACATCTAATTTTAAAACACCCAAGGAATTACTAAAATCTTTTACAGTATTTGGAAGAAACTTGACAACAAAAAAATGTTACATTCCCTTTTTTATAAAACTGCTGTTATAACAAAATCATGAAATAATAATGCATTCATATACTGCTGCAAGATGGTTAAAATAATCAGCTTTTACAGTCAAATGTGACTGCTTATTTGTACACTTAAACACCTACAAACTGTAGAGGATCTTCTGCCATAAGTACTATGTTCTAAATACTGATTTACTGACACGTGTTTTGAAGACACACATGCCTATCTGTCTGTTTGAAGGTGTGCGCTGTATGGGGTGATGGTAGAATAATACACAGAATAATCAGACCCATTCCAAAAAAGAGAGACTTAAAAAGAGGTATTCTCTGAAGAAACATAAATGGAACGGTATGGGTTAGAATAGTACGATAAGTCTGGAAATAGATGGAAATAAAGAGAAAAGAAAAAAGACAGCAAATAAGAAAAAGCCCAAACGAACAAAGACAGCAGAAGTACTGTCCCCAAGCTTAGTTATTTAGTAGGTACTTCATCTGCCAAGATCCAAAGTAAATGACCAGAAAGGTATTTTGCATTAAAAAAACCAAGAATGTGCAATGTTTGTTAGAAATATCCTTGCAATTATTGTGTTCTTCGGGAATCCTCACTGTAAATACAGGGGTAAAGTTGTTATCAGGTTATCGTATCTGAGATTTTTCCCCCTTCTCTAAACACATTGTTCTGTCCAAAACAAAAAACAAAAAATCTCAAACCATCCACGTTCACTTCCCCCACTCCCAAATCAAAGAGAATTACCTGTATACTCAAGAAGTGCCAAGAGTATTCGTGCCTTCACCTCTTAAAGAAAAAGAAAATATATTGAGGCCATGGTTAAAACTGTTTTCAGCAACATCATAACGCATTTGCAGTTTCTCATTTAATACCCGCTTAACTCCATCTTCTTGTGTAGGCAATCCTGATATCTATCTACAAACCGGTAATCAGTCTCAACTTCACTTAATTTTACATATGACTTGACAAAATTTACAATAATCAAAAGCACCAACAATGAGAAAGACACAAGAAGAGGCAGCTGCTGTCTCAGAGTATATGTGTACCAGCTCGCCAGCGCAAGTCCACATATGAAGAATACCAGTCTTCAAACTTTGAAAAACAACACTAGCTTTCACTGATTCCCCCACTACTCCAATTTGTTCTTTTTTCTTTTCCCTCTCTCGTTCCATACTTAAAAATCTCATATTATCCTCATTTTAACATATACCAAAGCATCCAAGAAAAATACAACTGTATTTTCACTTTATTCTCAGCCTTCAGGATTTTATTTTGCCTAAATCATTTCTTTTCACTTAACATTCTATGAAGTAAAAAAGTACACATTAAAAAAGGTCTTAATTTACACTGTCAAAAAATTGGTTTTATATCTCTTTACACTGTTTTGGGTTTTTTTTGGGGGGTGGGATGGGGGTGTGGTTTGGAGGAGGGGAGCTTCTCAAAGTTTGCAGGCTGAAGAAAGTCATTCTTCCCCTCTACTACGTACCACAACACAAATTTAAATGTGTTAATCACCACTGCAAGGAACAGGCAGATTAAAAAGCGGCCATTACCCTAGAGAGTGGCAAACATCCAGCACATCAGTTGTCCTACAGTAACCGCCTATAGGAACACACTGCTACTTCACATGCTTTCACACCTTTCCAAACTTTCTTTCACACACTCAGTTTTCTGTGCAGTCTATTCCAAGCCCTGCCCAGTGGACCAGCAGTACGGGGCGTATGGACAATAGCGCAATTTGGGATTATGTTGCCCCCTACTAAAACTAACCTAGTAGGTTTGAAATGTGAATCATTTGAGATCAGAATATAACTTGGATGACAGAACTCACATCAGACTTGACTGTATCAACAGCACAGTCTGGATTCTATGTGTACTTGAACACATCTACATAAAGCCAGAATCATCCCCAAAGGTGACTATGCTTAAAAAAGAAGAAAGCCTTTCAAGCCTGATCTTCATCCATACTGTACACACACTGCGAAAACAACTGGCAGTGCCCACGCTTCTGAAACGCATGGCCACGGTATCTCAAATACAAGCACCAAAACACTCAAAATCGCTTGTTATTTTTAAAAATTGCCTGGTGATAGGTCTTTGCCTCAGCCTTCTGTCTTTTGAAAAAAAACCCACAACTTACAGAAATTAATAACTTAGCATCTTGGAGTCTGAACACAGCTTGGTAACTGAAGAGACAATATAGGGAAATATAGCTTTTATCTAAAGAATTCAGATACACTGAGGCTATTACTTGCAGCTTGTTTTATATTAGATTTATTTGATCTCTGAATTCAGAACCGTTTGGGGTATCTATAATAATTTCCTGCTTATGGGAAAATTACAGGACACTGCAACTCTCCTTTATCATTGCTATACGTCTTCTCTGTTTCAAAATATACCCACAGGCAAGAGAGCATCTTTAGGTTATTTGTATAAGTAGAGACTTACCTGGGGTTAGAAAAGAGCTTTGGATGTCAACCATTTGCTTTTTACCAAATTCCAAATGCTATGGAAGTTTTCACCCCTTCTTGCTACATGGCATACGGAAAGTAATAACTCCCTAGCAATTTTTCTTTAGTTCATATGATATGTAATGCAAGATGCCTGCAACTTCTATTATTCTTAAACTTTTTTTTTTATCATGCTATTCTAATCTTTGCCAGTAAAGGCTATATTTTAGTTTTATTTTGTTTCTCACATCTGAATCACATAGGACTGCCAATGTAACGCCCATCTACAAGGAGGGCCAGAAGCAGGATCACGGGAACTACAGGCCTGTCAGCCTGACCTCGGTGCTGAGCAACATTATGGAGCAATTCATCCTGAGTGCGCTCAATGGGCATGTGAAGGACAACCAGGGGATCAGGCCCAGCCAGCACGGGTTCATGAAAGGCAGGTCCTGCCTGACCAACCTGATCTTCTGCAATGACCAGGTGACCCACCCAGTGGACATAGGAAAGGCTGTGGATGTCATCTACCTGGAATTTAGTACGGACTTTGACATTGTTCCTTCTGGAGAAACTGGCTGCCCATGGTTTACATGGGTGTACTCTTCACTGGATAAAGAACTAACTGGCTGAATGGCCAAAAGCAGAGAGTGGTGGTGAACTGAGTTAAATCCAGCTGGCAGCCAGTCATGAGTGGTGTTCCCCAGGGCTC